TATGGTGTAATAATGTGAATATATAAGTGTGCTGTTTTTGTGGGTTTTTAGATTTATATATATATATATATATATATATATATATATATATATATATATATATATATATATATATATATATATATAGTAGTACCTAGTAGCCGGAACGTACTTCTCAGCCTACTATGCAAGGCCCAATTTGCCTAATAAGCCAAGTTTTTATGAATTAATTGTTTTTCGACTACCTAACCTAACCTAACCTAACTTTTTCGGCTACCTAACCTAACCTAACCTATAGAGATAGGTTAGGTTAGGTAGGGTTGGTTAGGTTCGGTCATATATCTACGTTAATTTTAACTCCAATAAAAAAAAATTGACCTCATACATAATGAAATGGGTAGCTTTATCATTTCATTAGAAAAAAAATAGAGAAAATATATTAATTCAGGAAAACTTGGCTTATTAGTCAAATTGGGCCTTGCATAGTAGGCCGAGTACGAAGTTCTGGCTACTAGGTACGACATATATATATATATATATATATATATATATATATATATATATATATATATATATATATATATATATATATATATATATATATATATATATATGCGAACAAGCCTGAATGGTCCCCAGGACTATATGCGACTGAAAACTCACACCCCAGAAGTGACTCGAACCCATACTCCCAGGAGCAACGCAACTGGTAACTACAGGGCGCCTTAATCCGCTTGACCATCACGGCCGGACAAAAGGAAGTGGAAGCCGAAGCTATTTGAACCACTTCCCCGCCGGCAACTCGGATGGTAATCTTGGGTATAGCATTTCACCAAATCACCTCATTCTTTGGGGCACACGTGAGGAACACAAATGCGAACAAGCCTGAATGGTCCCCAGGACTATATGCGAGTTTTCAGTCGCATATAGTCCTGGGGACCAATCAGGCATGTTTGCATTTGTGTTCCTCACGTGTGCCCTAAAGAATGAGGTGATTTGGTGAAATGCTATGCCCAAGATTACCATCCGAGTTGCCGGCGGGGAAGTGGTTCAAATAGCTTCGGCTACCACTTCCTTTTGTCCGGCCGTGATGGTCAAGCGGATTAAGGTGCCCTGTAGTTACCAGTTGCGTTGCTCCTGGGAGTATGGGTTCGAGTCACTTATGGGGTGTGTTTTCAGTCATATATATATATATTTCAGTATATATATATATATATATATATATATATATATATATATATATATATATATATATATATATATATATATATATATATATATATATATATTTATATATGTATTTTCACCTGTGTGTGCACTTGCACACACAGGTGAAAATACAAATATATGCAGTTAATTTTGGCTTGCTAGCCACAGCCTTTTATGATGGTTGATTGTGTTGACCAACTTGTCAATTATATGTGACCTAGACTCACCTGACAGGTGTACAACATCTCTTGCCAGGTTTTGCCTGTATGGTCTGGCTGTAAATTGAATGTAAGTGGCATCCAATCGTACTCTCTTCCTCAGCCGAAAGTTTATATATTTGGCAGCTCTTTGGTAATATTCTGGACTCACTCCCCAGTAATTATTATTGCTTAGTTGGCGAGGCTTCACTAATGTGAACACTACTGAACTGCTAACAAGTTTAAATGTGGAAATTATTGTTTTAAGGTCATTAATTACCTCAGCTGGGTGTCGAGTAGGATGGATGTCATTACCACCTAGATAAATAATGGTTAGATGGTGAGGCCAATCTAACGCAGGTGTTAATGTGGAGTTATTATAGAAATTGTGAGCTGTTGCTCCTGGTGACCTGAAGATTCTTACCTCAGTGTGAGGTATAGGTCTGAGTGTTGTGGGTATCCGTGTGTGTCCTACTAGTGCTACCTTATACATGAGGTATAAACCGCAATTAAATTGGTGTGAGCTAGGCTTACTTATGTGGTACACTGCTGGTAGCCACAGATAATAAAATGTGGTTAGTCTAGATTACTACACACGGTGACTAGTTATGATTATGGTATTAATTGTAATGTATCTGGTTCAATAAGGACCAAATGTTGGTTATCTGGGCTTTGACTCATCTATTGAATTATTTAATAATGATAATTAACATAAATCGAAGAAGCACCCACTTTTGAGAAAAGAGGGAAAACAAATAAAGGTGATTATAAAATTGACACTATAGAACCAGTGCCTATGTATGGTAATTGATTTAACAATCACTTAATAGACAATGAATAGACTGTATTATTAATTGATTAAATTCAAAGCGTCAAATAACAACATTGGGGGGTTATTTCTAGAAGTTCATATATATCTAGGATCCAGTGTGGTTCGTCACTAGTTCATTAAAGGGTCAGTAACATGACAAAACTGAACTAGAATGTTGATTCAAGATATGACATATTAGATAATCAATATATTGAAAGTTTATTAAACATTAAGAAATAATAAATGTAGATTCATTAAACACCGAGTAATAAATTTTAGCATTAGATTATTCCATTTAACTATCCTATATGTGAATTTATATATAGAAACTACTAATAATCTTATTCAAATTTCTATGAAAACATCTGTCTTAGCTGTAAGAGGACTTCAATAAGTCCGTTTCGTTACTCGTCCACGTGATCACCAGATCCCAATAAAGAAGAAACCAGTAGTGAACCTCGTAGGTGAAGAGAGATAATTTGTTACATCCTCGCCTACACGCTGCAATCATGGAAATTTGAGTAACATTATTAGGCTATGAATTATTTCAATATTCATTGAAATTGAAATAAAACGGGGAAATCAACTAACATTGAAGTATAGGTCTTCTTGCAATATAACGACAGACTACCCACAAATACACGATCTTGAATGATGCATCAAACAAGAAAAGTATACTTAACGTGAGCGTGCAAGAACACTAAGGTCAGCCGATAGCGCATCTGTCAGTCCCTGGTGTCCACTGCTGTGTACGCGTAATTATGGGTCGTGACTATAATTGTAGATGCGTTATTAAACAGTTGAGCACTGTAGACCACGTGATAGTATTGAATTGCGGTCGTCTGTGGAGCTACCACGCGACTATTGTTGTGCGACTTGTCAGCCACGCCACTCCTCATGTCTCGTCTGTGATAATATGGCGTCTCCCCGCTAGCATCTCCCTCAACCCCTCTCGCATTCGCAATACAATTTAGTAAGGATGGAGAATTCTTCTCCGAATAATTACTTACGTAATGCGTTAAAGAGAATAGGGTTTGCAATTGTAGGGAATTAAATATTGTTTATATTCTCGTTAGATGGTGTCGATTAAGCACAGTGTCCATATTAATGAGAAATGGGGAGAATTTCCATGGAGTTCGTATATAACAGATAAAACTGTTATTTAGTGATATTTTTAATTAATAACTCTCGGTTATTAGATCATTAGTGGTTATATTATCAGTAATTAATTATTATACAGAATACTGATAAAAGTAAAGAACCTTATTCAATTCTCTAACAGATTGGTAATAATTATGTCCTGCTGGACATTATCTGACACAATATGCTTCTCGATGTCGTGAGAATATTAGTAACTGACATGTGGATGGAGAAATATTAATTTATGTTAGCACTACAGTTAGTAAGGTTAATTGATACTGTAATTAATATACAACAGTAGTGTATTGTGAATGGTGATAAGGATGTATCAGTGTTGGAAATTTTCAACACCATCTGTTGCATGTATTAGTAACACACTTTATACTAAATATGTTACAATTCCATTTCAATGTTTCCGAATGCATTGATAAATTGAAATTTCATTGATTTTGCTTTATTTTCATTTTAATTTAATTATTTTGTGTGACATTGCATTGGAATTGAGCTGTGTTGTTTATCATACTGTTCATTTTGTGAGTATAAGTAATGATGCCACACCTGTGACAGGTAAAATCATGTTTTTTTTTTAAAACAGCTCCATCTGTTGTACGTAATACGTAATAGCAACTTACGCTACACTAAATATGTTATGATTCCATTTCAATGTTTTCGATTTCACTGGTAAATTGAATTTTCTTAGATTTCGATTTATTTTCATTTTGATTTAATTATTTTATTTGACATTGCTTTGCAACTGAGCTGTGTTGTTTACCATACCGTTCATCTCGTGAGTATAATTTATTTTGTTATTTTGTCACTGTTTTTGCTTTCGTTTTTAACTGTTTTCCTTATATATCAGTGATGAGAACATCAGATCATTTGAGAATGCATCGGACGAGGATTGGGGAATAGTGGGGAGGACTAGGGGACGAGAGTGGGGGACGGTGGGGAGAACGAGAGAACTGGGGACGAGGGTAATAGTGGGAAGGACGAGGGGACTGGGCAGTTGGAGATGGTGGGGATGAGAGGACTAGGGATTGGAGAATGGTGGGGAGGACAAGGGGACAGGGGATTGGGGGATGGTAGGGAGTACGATGGGGAGGAGGAGGGGGGGGATGATTAGAAGGACGAGGGGACACTGGAGTGGGGGATGGTGGGAACGACAATGAGACAGGAAAGGGGGAATGGTGGAGAGGACAAAGGGGCGGGGGAGTGAGAAATGGTTGGGAGGACGAGGGGACGGAGAGAGGGGAATGGTGGGTGGACTGGGAAACAATTGAAGGTTGTTGTGGCTAAGCCACAGCAACGCATGGCTGGGTACAGCTACTTATATTAATAAAATGGTTGCATATCATGTCATGATATTAAAGATACAAGTTATCTAAGTTGTATGTAAAAAAAAGTATATAAAATGGATTATCACAGTTAATTATGTTATACGTTGTGATGGTCGGAGGCAATGAGACTTGCTTCATGATATTGTTAACCATCACAGTCTAGGCTTCGCCGTGAAAAGTGAAGTGAACACCCGCTTCTCCAGGCGAGTGTTACCCTGGAGAAGAATTTGGTTTTACCTGAGTAAAAAAATAAAAATTTTCATGTAAGTATTAACATATTTTAATTCATAGTCCTAAACATTATACTCATCATTTTATGCTTTATAGGAAAGGTGCACCTTTTCGCAAAGAATTCAGTCAACTGATGACTCGACTGGATGCCGCTGGAATTACTACTTACTGGCCTGACGACGTTATAGCCAGTAAGGTGAGGGAAAAGAGGAAGGTTTTAAACCTGGGCACTACGACTGTTCTCGGAGATATATTTCAGGTAATTTTAATTTAATGCTGTCCAACTGCCATGATATGTATTATTCCTTCCAGCTATTATATCTTCCTTTAACTCCTAATGTACTATTAATTCTTGACTGTCAGGATGAAGGGAAGGAAGTGGTGCTGAGCCTCAACCATCTGCAGGGAGCCTTCTACATGTTGCTGGTGGGGTCCTGCGTCGCCTTCCTCACCCTGCTGGGGGAGAACCTCGCCCACTGCTGCTCCTCGCCTCAGTAACACCTTCCTCACCCTGCTGGGGGAGAACCTCGCCCACTGCTCTCGCCTCGCCTCAGTAACACTTCCTCACCCTGCTGGGGGAGAACCTCGCCTCAGTAACACCTTCCTCACCCTGCTGGGGAAGCTGCTCCTCGCCTCAGTAACACCTTCCTCACCCTGCTGGGGGAGAACACCTGCTGCCCACTCCTCGCCTCAGTAACACCTTCCTCACCCTGCTGGGGGAGAACCTCGCCCACTGCTGCTCCTCGCCTCAGTAACACCTTCCTCACCCTGCTGGGGAGAACCTCGCCCACTGCTGCTCCTCGCCTCGCCTCAGTAACACCCTCACCCACTGCTGCTCCTCGCCCAGTAACACCTTCCTCACCCTCCTCACCCTGCTGGGGGAGAACCTCGCCCACTGCTGCTCCTCGCCTCAGTAACACCTTCCTCACCCTGCTGGGGGAGAACCTCGCCCACTGCTGCTCTGTAATGTATACGAAATGGGGGAAATAAAATGAAAACAGATGAGGGAGGTAGGGAGGTGGAAGGAAGGTGTGAGGAATAGTGGTCAGTGGAAAGGGAAAATTTTGAATGAGAGGGATAAAATTAGATCAGGCAAAGTAAAGAATATAAAGTAAAAGTGCTAGAATAGTAGAAAAATAAAAAGTTGTTGCCACCATCCATTCAAGTTAGTTATTTATAAGACAAGGAATGGTACTTGTCAGCACAACAATATTATCTGATGTTATCAACCATATTATCAACTGTAAGCATGTACACATATAAACAAGAATTTTTGTCACAATCTTAAGCCAGTAAACTTCAGAGTGCTCTCCACTCTAGCTTGCAATATCTCATAGAAAATCTAAGATCTAGGGATCTCAATTAAAGGCAATTTAAGAAGTAAGTTAGTCAATTATATATTTCCTATTTGATCTTCACTCATACGGATATCATAACTGAACCATATCATTTGATGTTAAATGTCAATATTAATACACAATTTGAGTGACCACACAAGAAATTGAGAACATCTACGGCTGATTGCCCCTGAGAATCACACAACACCTAAGATAAAATCACAATATATGACACTTTGCAGTTCAATCACCAAAGTCTCTGAGACCATGTTTGATAGAGAGAGAGAGAGGTGGGGAGGGTAGTACGGCTGACAGACAGTCTCCTACCCGGCTTGACAGGCCTATTCTGGCTGTGGGAACTTCTCGACAAGCGATCTTTCTATCACTGTCCTGCTCAGTATCTCAAAAGTACAGTTTCACGGGTATATATGGGGATACCGGGAGCTAAGCTCCACCCTTGCAGGAGATACCCTCTAACCAACTACCTACCCCACCTAGACAGCGGCTTGTTTGATGGAAAGAGACACCCAACCAACTGTAATTATCATATTAGCAAAATGCAAGGTTACTTCACACTATTTGGTCCCCCTACTCAACCTGCGACCATTAAATTTCTAGAGGTGTGACTTCTTAATTGCTAAGAGCCGACTGTCATGCGACACCAATATCCTGTGTAGCTTGACTCTCGTTTTATGTAAAATAATTTTATATAAAACATTTATAGTGTTTCATCTCCCCATATCCCTTTATTTAATAAAGATTTTGCAACACTGCTAAAGGAAGTAAGCAGGGTGCAAAAACTTTATAGAAAAAAATACATTCTAGGTAAACAATTATAGACAAAAAATCTGGAATATCTAGCTGGAAGGCATCACTCCTTTGTCTTGTAGATAGTCTTATGGCGTGTTCATTCAATACAACTGCATCAGTTGCTGCTCCTTCTGGGGCATGCAACAACGCCGCTGCCAACCAAGGAAGATATACATTTTGCGCTGCGCACAGTACCGTGGATGTTGGTCGACCCAGCTGAGCTTTAATTGGCCCTACGTCCATCACCATGGGGGATGAACATTGGGGTTCACAGATACACACAGATATAGGGACTATAAGTTTCGAAGCCTCGAAATAGTTGGCACCGTAGAACCCATTCTACTTATAGCCACCTGTTGCTCCAGCACGGCTCCTTCAGAGAACTACTTCCGTCTGTCATCAAATCCACAACACGCAGGAGGAATCACTCAACAGAGCGACATGCTTGTCGGAGTGGCGGCCAGTTAAGGCAAACGATCCTGTCTTGCAATATACTCCAAGCAATGCTGCTGACACCAGCGAGAGACACTAACCATCGTGATTTAGCATGGCCCTATCCTCTCTTCCATCTCTCTTCTGTTATCCCATGGGTCGTTGACAATCGACCTGGGGTCCACTGAGGTCCGTCCGTCCTGGGGTCCATCCTGGCAGACCAATGTTGGTGGGACTGACTGGAGTCGTTGATGGTCTCCTTACATTTTTACTGGGTCGTCTGGTGTCGTCGGCAGGACGCCCTGGAGTCCACTGGGGTCCCAATAGCAGTGGGACATCGTTCTCTGGGTTCCATTATTGTTGTTTTGGAGAGGGCTATAGACTACCTGGGATCCAATGTTGGCCAACCGTGAGGACCGACTTTGGGTCCCCAGGGGTGGTGGTGGACCCACGATGTAGCTAGGTGGATGGATGGTCATGGTGGTGGTGATGAAGACCCGTGAGTGTTATACAGGGGAGCTGTCTCCACCCTCTGTATATGTGCACCTCGCCTCTTGACTCCGACCTGGGAATGAATATAAGGCGACAATAACTGTCTTCCAAAAATGTTGTGTGACCCCTTTATGGATAACAGGGTTCCCAGAGCTCAGGCATACTGCTCTCTTCCTGGCAATGGCTCAAACCTTCAATCATAATGGAACTGACTTGGTGGAACATAAAGCAGTACCAGAGTAAAGTTGTGAAGAGAGAATAAGGTAGTCACTACTTTCAACTTGTCACTCATGAAAAAAATCAATATCCCCAATAAAAATGTTGATGCCACTCGAACATAAAACACTAATTTGACCTAATTGTACCGTTCCTAATTTAGCGTACTTAATTTATCGGTTACTCCAACACCTTAACCTACAACCACATCCCGTGACCCAGAATTGTTTCCCTCGTTCGCACAACTCAAAACCTTTGCCACACACCATGACCAGACTTCAAATGCCAGGCGTCCCCAGACATCAAGTCTACTGACGCTCTAGTCCCCACTAGAGTGCTGTACAATACCAGTACAACTCAAGTTATTGCATTCAAATGGAGTAAATCAGTCAATCACAATAACCTGAAAAGAACCGCCATTTAAAACTACTTAATAACTTAACCACATCTGTCACTCCACAGCTGACTTGTAAACCAGCGAAGGCTGGGTGTCCCCCTGGGACATAGCAGGTCACTTGTCTCACTCAGCTGACCTCCACAAGCTACCACAACTGCTAAGCTTCCAAATTGCCAAATATTACCCACTATCACAAATCTCACTACATACTAGTTCTGGAAAATGTCTAGAACACAATGCCAGAAAATCCCTAACACTAACCTGAAAACTCGCTAAATCGCTAATAATAAACACCTGGCAAAATCCCTCTGATAATGCATGAGTGTAAAGACACGTGGGATTGAACAATGTTAAATTACACAGGCTGAATTAAAACTTGTTTATCACCACTGCTACCATTGTAATGTATCGTAAATTGAAGGAAAGAAAAGAAGTCAAGGCAGTGAGCATGGGGTGAGGGAGGTAAAGAGGTGGAAGGGAGGTGTGAGGAAGAGTGGACAAGAGAAAGTGAAAGTTTATGAGTGGGAGAGAATGAGATCAAAGAGGAAAGTAAAGGAGTAGAAATCTTAATCTTAAGCCAGTAAACTTCAGAGTGCTCTCCACTCTAGTTTGCAGTATATCATAGAAAATCCAAGATCTAGGGATCACAATTAAAGGCATTTTAAAAAGTAAGTTAATCGATTATATATTTCCTATTACATCTACACTCATACGGAAATCATTATTCAACCATATCATTTGATGTTAAATGTCATCATTAATACACAATTTGAGTTACCACACAAGAAATTGAGAATACCTACGGCTGACTGCCCCTGAGAATCACACAACACCAAAGTTGAAATCACAATATACGTCACTTTTCAAGTTTACTCATCAAAGTCTCTGAGACTTAAGTTAAATAGAGAGAGGATGGTGGGGGGTTAGTATGGCTGACAAACAGAGTCTCCTATCCGGCCTGACAAGCCTTGTCTGGCTGCGGGAATCTCTCGACAACGATTGTTTGATGGAAAGACAGTCAACCGGCTGCAATTATCAGCTTAGCAGAAAGCAAAGCTACTTCACACGACCTGACCCCTACTCAACCGTTGACCATTAAATATATAAAGGTGAGACTTATTAATTGCTAAAGGCCAACTGTCTGGTGACACCAATATCCTGTATGACTTGACTCGTTTTATGTAAAATAATATTCAAAACACATTTATGGTGTTACTGCTCCTCCTCACCCCAGTAACATCTTCCTTACCAGTCAATCTGACGTAAATCTAGGGCATGTTTGAGAGAACCCCCAAATTTCTCACGCTTCAGGTTAACTGGCCCACCACCAACAGTCAAAATGCAAGCAGCCTCTCTTCGTCCAGAACTGCAACCAGGAGACGGCGCATCTACTTTATGCACCTACGGCACCACCTCAGCCGTCCGACTGGGAGGGAAAGCCCCGGAAACACCATCACTCACTTCCTGCTACAGGTTCCAATGCATTCCAATTTGCTCCACACTGGGACACAAATACACTGGGGGAACGCCCACAACTGCAGTCTCCACTCCAACAGGTACAGCAACCACGTCAACGTACCCTTCTACGGAGCCGTCTGTTACGAGAACGCATAGGCATTTAGGGGGAACGACACCCTAACCACAACGTCCGGTGAGCATCTCAGCAGTGCTGAGATGCTTACCTCAGTACCAATGCCATCAGGAATGACCAGTGAAGAAGTACTCACAGATCCCAGACCGACGTCATCCACCACTGCAGACTTCCCCATCCGAGGGCAATACCCCAGCGTTGGAAGATCCTCTTAATCTCTCTAAGAAGGAAAATGAGCTTCATTGAACACGTTC